GGGCGGGCCGAGGGAGGGGCGGACGAGGGGACCGCTTGGGGGCACTGGAAAGCCAGGCCGACTCGGGAGGGAGAGGCAGAGACGCTCGGGAGCGCAGGCGAGGAGGCTGGGGGAGGGGGCGCGGTGGGAGGAGGAATCGAGAAGACAAAAGCGGAAAGCGAGCAGGGCCTGGGCCGCACACACCGGCCCGCTGCTGTCCGTGCCGCAGGGCACCGGCCATCCCGGTCGGCGGGCGGCATGGGGAAGGGGGGGAACCAGGGCGAGGGGGCCACGGAGCGCGAGGCGCCGATGGCCACCTTCAGCTGGGAGGAGATTCAGAAGCACAACCAGCGCACGGACAAGTGGCTGGTCATCGACCGCAAGGTCTACAACATCACCAAGTGGTCCAGCCGGCACCCGGGGGGCCACCGGGTCATCGGGCACTACGCGGGAGAGGATGCCACGGTAAGGGTCTGGGGGCTCTCCGGCCACCCTTCTCTGCTGCAGGCGGAGTCAGGGGCCCTGCGTCCCTGCGCGCCGGACAGACCCTCTGGCGCTGAATGGAGCTTGGGACGTCCAGGAGGAAAGGACAATGTATCTTGTGCGTCCGTTCCCCACCCCATCGCCCCATCCTCCTCCTCTGGGCCAGGTGCAGGGTCGCATTTGCGGGCCGGGAAGGCAGCGCGGCGGTGGAGAACCGCGCGGCATCCACCGCGCGCTCCGGGACTCCCGCGCCCGCTACTTCCGCGGGTGCAGGCGGCGCCAGGGACTCCCCAAAGGGGGCGCTGGGGCCCGGGGCTTTGGCGCCCCCGGCGTGGAAGATGGCCACCCCCGGGCTCCCGGAGAGGAGCCCGAGAGCAGGCAGCCGGGTGAGACTCGGCGCGGGCCCCCGCTCTCTCCAGCCGGACTCGTCCCGGCCGGGGCTCGCTCCAGCTCGGACTCTTGTCTCAGAAGGGCCGCGACGGCTGCTTCGGGGAGACCTCCTGGTAGCTCAGGTTCCCACGCCCCCAAGGATTATCGGCACCCACCCCAAGGGTCGGTCTTCTTGGGAGACCGGGGTGAGGAATTGGTGGAAGGAGAACGGGCTGGAGTTTGCAAAGCCCGGATCGAGAGGGGGGCCTTGAGCCGAGTGGATTTAGCTGCTCTAGGCTGGCTTGGCAATAACAGGTTCATCGGCACCCGAGGTTACTCTCGGACATTCATCTCAATGGCACTCTGTTTTCAAATCCTGCCAGGAAGACTTTCCCTCTTGTTGCACTCCTAAGGTAGTGGCCGTGGGGCCTCTTCGGAGTCAGGGCTGCCCATGTTACTGGCGCCAAATGTGTGGCCCGGGGATCACACAGCATGCCCACCGCAGCCCCCAGTCTAACATCCTTGCATTACTTTAAGGTGCAGCTGGAGCCCGTGGACTCAAATGGGTGAGAGGGAAAAGAACAGAGAGGCAGGAGGGAAGAAAGGACCTCTCTTGGTGACAGTGGAATGGAAGCAGAGGAAAAGGTCTGGTGGGACAGAGACTCGGGAAAGGTGGGTAGGGGAGAAGATGCAAGGAGGGATAAACTTGACATAGGTCATTCCGCCTGGAGGTCCAGGAGGCTGATCTGTTTGTGGGCTTTTGCTGTCCAAGCTGTAGGCCCACCTCTTGACTTGACCTCTTGCCATCTGTTGGAGACAGGCCTAGGGAGGCCAGACCAAACAGCCATAATCGGGACTGTTCGGTGGACTGGTGGCTTTAGTGAGCAGGGCCCAGGCTTATTCAAGTTGAGAAGAGGCTCATTGATATTACCTGCTGCTTTTGGCCCCATTCTGTTTTATCTGCTTGTGAAGATTGCTAATCAGAACTTGGGTGTAAGCTCTCACACACTTTCAGTGTACTAACTCACCTGGATCTTTCCATAGCCCCTTGAGGAAGTTGGGTAAAGTTGGGTAATTCCTAAGTAAAAGACCTTCTGGCGGCTGGTTGGGATCTTTTCACTACACAAGGGTACTTCAAAAAGTTCCTGGAAAGATTTGCATTATCTTTTAATTCTGTTTTTCTGTGAACTTTTTGCAGTACCCTCATATGTTGCTGGACTTGTGCTAGCCTGTTCATGATAACATAGCCCTGTCTGAGTGGCTCCTCATCAAAGAGTTTCGTAGACGGGAAAGTGAAGTGTGGTGAATTTGGTCTGATTATTCCATATTGTTAAATAAACATATTTTCTTATGTGGAAGCTCAGTCTGGCAACTACCTTGAACTTTATAGTTTAAGATAGCAGATTTATTTCACCCTTGTTCTAGATGTTCTCAGTGTTTACCTGACCTTGAGTTTCCTCCAAAAATCAGTGCTCAGATCTATCCCGTCAGAGGGCCAGGAGGACCTACTCTTCCTTGTCCCCTTCTCTGTCTCAAAAGTTTGAGCTAAAAATGTAACTGTCTCTTTATTTCCAACCCTGCCCCAGTGCTTTCTGTATTAACTTTCACTGACTGTAAATGTGGTATCTTGGATGTTAGTTGCCCGGGTATAAGAAAGCCAGAGTGGGAGCCAGAGTGGGCTGCAAACAGCCCTGGAAGTGAAGAAAGAAAGATGTGATCACTGGGCTTTTCTGCAGCAAGGTGTCGTCTCACTGAGCGCCCCCCTCCACCTCACCATCTCTAAGACACACCTGTACCTATTTCAACAAGACTGATCCATGGCAACGCACTCCATCACTGTAAGCACTAGATAAATGCAACAAGATAAATGCAACGGAGTGTTATCAGACAAACAAGGAATAAGAGTGAGGATTATGAAACAGCTAGAATGTGAAGTATGCAAAGAGGAATTTGGAAGAAAAACATTTTTAAATCTATGCTAGATCTATTTGGGCAAGACATAAAGATAAATACTATCCCCAAAGCTTACTGCCTTCCAAAACAAGACTCTGGGGGCATTGAAATACACTAACTGAAGGTATCACTGAATAATACTGGAGTGAGCAACTGGGTTCTTTTCTCTTTGGCTTTTTTTTTTTTTTTTAACTGTTTGGGATCAGGTTGGGACAAGGCCTTGGGCAGCATGGGGGATATGGGAAAGGACCTAAAGACAGAGGCAGGAACAGGCTGTGGGAAAAAGTGGCTTTGCCCCTTGGGGCATAGACTTCTTCCTCTGAGCTTGAAAAGTGGGAGGTTGTTTATGGATTCAGGCAAATTTGGGGAAAGGACTGGTGAGCAGATAGAGGTTGGGTCCCCCGGAACACTTGAATGCACTGTTCTGAGCTAACCACAGTGCAGTAATACCCTAACGAGGCTGGAAGGAGAGGCCAGAAGTCAAGGAAGCTATTCTTGGGACAATTGGGCCTCAATAGGGGATTTTCCTTTCTGAAGAAGAGAAGACCTCAGAAGTCAGGACCCGTCTCTTCCCCAGGAGGACGGGGCACTTGTCACTTGGTCCTTCTGCAGAAGTTAGAATTTGGAAAGGAAGCTATTCTTGGGACAATTGGGCCTCAATAGGGGATTTTCCTTTCTGAAGAAGAGAAGACCTCAGAAGTCAGGACCTGTCTCTTCCCCAGGAGGACGGGGCACTTGTCACTTGGTCCTTCTGCAGAAGTTAGAATTTGGCTTTGCCTGCAGTAATAAAAGTTGCTTAATTTTTGCAGCCTGCAATGGGCATTCATATATTTTACCTCGTTTATTCCTCGGATCAGTGCTACAGGTATCTCTCATTGTTCTGAGGTTTAAAAATCTTGCTCAAGCAGCAGCTCTTGGGGCTAAATTCAGATCTGCCTGTACAAGTCTTCCCAGCTTATCTTCCCTCCTTCCCTCCCTCCTGCTCTTCCTAGTTCCACCTCTCTGATCTCTTCCCTCTGGTCCTCCAGTGCTTCACTTGTCTGCCTTGCTGTGGGCAAAAGAAGCTCTCACCTGTGCCCCAAGAATAGGTCTGTTCTATTCACGGTGTTCCCACCACTGCAGTACTTTCCCCACTCAAGACTTTTCATGTTCAGCAACAATTCATCAAACATTCATTGTCGATGAATTGAACCATGGAGTGTCTCCATGGTTCTGAGCTGGGCCCCGGCACAAAGATGAATAATTTACAGTGACCTGGGGGAAGGGACTGACTTATACCTGGAGTGGGGCAGGGGCAGGGAACATGTCTCCGTGGCGATGTTGGCTGCGGGTGGAGCTGGGTATTGCAGAAGCAGGAATTGGTAAAGAACAGAAAGCATGACATGTGCTTAGGAATCTGAGTGTTCTGAGCTCCCCACCACCAACAGACCCACCTTGCTGGGGGAGGTTCAGTGCTCTTCTCTCCACCTGCTTGGCTGCCCGTGTCATGGTCCTCTTCCTGGAAAGTTTGGCTTCTCTCCCTGAGCCTGGTTTCAATTCTTGTTCCAAAATCAACGTTTGAGTTGGCCCTGGCTTGCCTTGCACTGTGGCCTGCCTCGCACCAGCCAGACATTCCTGTAACCAGACAGCTGTTGTGCCTGGGCACATTCATGGCACTTTGAAGGGGGGGAGACAAAAAATGATCAACTCTTAGGGAGGAGAAAGCTCATTTTGATTGAGGCGTTTGTCTTAACAGCAGAAAACTCTAGAATTAGGTGCATTGGATTCAAACTCTGCTCAGCTAATTTCTGGAGTGTGACTGTGGGCAAGTAGCTTCACCAACCCAGGCCTTTTTTCATCTCTAAAATAGGACCTGCCTCACAGAGTTTGTTAAAGATGAGTAGCTGAGGTCTGCAAACCTCAGCTCCATGTGGCTCCATAGCCAGGCTGCATAATCTACCACGTGACAGCTGTACTAACCACCAATGTCTGGATGCTGGCGAAGGTGTTCCAGAAGCATTGGCCAAGTTGTGTAAAACAGTGGAAGAAGATAAGAGTCAGAATGTGACTACAGAGTGGAAAGTCTCCTGGGATTAGAGGGTGCACAGCGTGGGGTGCTGGGTTCACTCATTCACCTGCTAGGCTCCGTGGCAGGCACCGGGGTTATTGCAGCCAACAAGAGTGGCATAGTCCTT